TGGCGAGATGTGACCGCCCGGCGATCGATATTGCCTGGCGAGGGGGGGGGGACAGCGCGCAGTTGCCGGCGAGCTTACGTCGCCGCTCCCGCGTCTCGCGTCCCCATCCCTCGTCTGGCAATATCGATCGCCGTGCGGTTACATCTCGCCACGCGCTCGAATTGGACAGTGGGCAGGGCAAAGACGACGATTTTCGATAATTTATTACTCGTTAACTATTGCGAAAATTGCAAATGGTTCAGGACTTTTCTGTTCATCTCGATCCGTTCTACCTTCTCACGAGCTCTGGTACAAATGTTATGACTCACCCTGTACATGTATAAAGTACTCTTTAATACATATAATTAGATATAATAATAAAATTTAATTTTTATTTCATGAAATTATCATTTTGTATATGCACATATACAAAATACAATATATTTTTACATATTGTATATTTTCGTAACAAACTTTCATTAAATAGATCATAATAGAAATATAAATAACATTACAATAATATTATCCCATGAATATTTCTATTAAAATTAAATAAAAGTATATTAAAATAAAACATATTTTACCTGCGTAGAACATTTTTGCTAATACTATATTCACATATATGCGTGTCTTCAGTCAGTATATCGTAACACAAACAAGCATCATACTTTAACGATAATGTAGTACCGAAATGAGGAAAAATAATCGAATATCTTAAAGTACGCTCAATAAATCTATACAATCAAGTAAAGTGATTATTTTGCTATTGTGAAAAGTTGCAAAATAAAATTTAATAGTACAAAACAAATAATACAATAGAAATAGCAAAAATATTTTTCATACATTTTAAATAATAATTTATTATAATAGAATTATCAATGTAAGATTTAGTTATATGTCAGATTTTAGTTATATGTGCAATACTGAAAATTATCTGTAAAAAAAGAACATTAAATTTGTGTTAAAAAGAAAGTTGAATTTTATTTATCAAAATTCTTTCTCTACGGTAGACTTTGTTCTATATAAAAAGTTACTCTCTTTTTTATTTTTTTTGTACAATCTTTCATATTTTTCTTTCTATACTCTAATTTAAAATCATTGTAATAAATCTTATGTTATGTAGCACGCCAAACAAAATTTTCTTCAGTGTTTAAGCCTAGATTGTTATTACTTTAATAAAGTTTTGCTGTATAATTTTGTACCAAAATCATAATTGTATTGTTATTGTAATTTCATATTGAAATTGCAAATATTTGGAGAACATAATAAGATTGTATATACAGGGTGAATATTAATCCTACACAGCACAAAGCTCCGATTAAACTCCTAGGAAGTTCATTTTGCTGAGCTCCCAGGGAACTTATAAAATTCGACAAAACAAACTTCCAGGGAGTTCATTTCGTTGAGCTCCCGGGAAGCTTACAAAATTCGACAAAACAAGCTTTCAACAAGTTAGTACTAGTACCACTCACTGCCGCGACGTGGCGACCGCACTTTAGTCTTTCTCGTAAGTAAAATCCTCCCATATTAGTATAAGAGGCGAGCCGATATAATCCGACAGCAAGTTATCTGGATTATGGATAAACTTTAATGACCTAGATAAATTTTTGATGACTATACCAGGCCTGGGCAATTTTCACTGCCCGCGGGCGCCCGTTTGCCCGCGGGCAATAGCTGTGCGTGTCGGGCAAGAGTGGGGAGACAGTTTCGGCAAGAGTGGGGAGACAGTTTCGTAAGTGGGAAAGAACGTCGCGCTTTAGAAGTATAGTTCCGAATATGATTGAGACGTGGTGGGGCGATGATTGGAGTGGGGGCATGCCCGCGGGCATGCCCGCGGGCGCCCGCGGGCGCCCGTTGCCCGCGGGCAGCATTTTGCCCACCCCTGGACTATACCCATACAGCACGGAGAAATCCTGGGGAGCTAATAAAATTTTTCATAAACTTTATTTGAACTTTAAACGAACTCGCACGTAGCTCCCTGGGAGCTTCATTTAAGCACGCAGAGAGTTTTTAAAACATGTTTTCTGAACTCCCTGCGAGCTTAAATGAAGCTCCTCTGGGGCTCCTATGTCCGCTTTTAAGAGCTCCCTGGGAGCCTCAGTTAAACTCCCTGCGAGCTTAAATAAAGCTCCCAGAGAGCTCTCAAAAGCGGACATAGGAGCTCTCAGGGGACTCCGTGCGAGTTCGTTTGAAGTTCAAGTGAAGCTTATGATCAATTTTAAGAGCTCCCCGGGAGTTCCCTGTGCTGTGTGGGATGGATGCACCAACCTTTTATCATAGAAGATGAGTTACCGACCGTAACTGGAAAAGAATGGAAAAATCTCGTGTCTGTGTGTCTCAATCATATGTATAATATCTACTTATATTTCTCGAGTTATAATTAAATATTACATGATTGAAATACATATGTATAACGAGATTTTTCCATTTTTTCCAGGTTTGGCTACAGTAGTGGTCGGTAATTCATCTCCTATGGTAAAAGGTTGGTGCACCATTAATATTCACCCATGTATATGTATAAATTATTCAATATATGTATAATTATAAAATCAAAAAATTAAAGATTATTAACGTTATCAGAGAGACGAGTGAGCTCCATCATAATAGCTTCGGGTAAATCATTTCCCACTTGAGCGTCAAAATATTCCCTCAAATCCTCGACTTCTTTTTGCCAGAAAGTTTTTGGTAATCTAAATAATTCCGTCATGTTCACGTCATCTTTGAGATTTTCTAAATTAAGTGACCCTGGTTTCGGCAATAAACCAATAGGCGAGTCCACAGCAATATCTTCGCCATCGATCCTTCGAAGAATCCAGTCGAGTACACGTGAGTTCTCACCAAATCCTGGCCACAGATATTTTCCGTCCAAATCCTTCCGGAACCAATTCACGTGAAATATTGCTGGCAATTTAGCATTCTTCACATGTGCCCTACTTAACCAGTGGGCGAGATAGTGTCCAAAGTTGTAACCAAAGAAAGGTCTCATAGCAAATGGATCGTGCATGATTACTTTACCCTGTAAAGTATGTTGGATTTGATCAGTAACGTTGATTCGTAACTTTCATCTTTAATTCTATATGTTTTTGTATTTTATAAATATATTTCTCATAGGCACCAGATTTATATAAAAATCTACATTTGCATTTTGTTCTATTTGATCGAAATAATTAGATTTGATGCAGCCAAGGTAAGTGTTAATATACCTTGTGTTCAGCGGCGGCTGTAGCCTCAGACCTCATTGTGGCACCGATAAAAACACCATGTTGCCAGTTTCGTGCTTGATAAACCAAAGGTACACCTTCGGGCCTCCGTCCTCCAAATAGTATAGCATCGATCGGGACTCCAGCTGGATCCTCCCAAGAAGGATCAATAATGGGACATTGCTTGGCAGGAGTACAGAATCTTGAATTTGGATGAGCAGCTGGTATTTTGGAACCTCTAAACCAATCGTTTCCTCTCCAATCTATCACCTGTAATAAAGCAAAAGTATTGTATATACATATCTCTCGTACTTTCACCTTTGGATAATACTATTACAGTCTTCAAAGTTTTATAAATCTTTAAGAAAAACATGTGCTCGTACTGTCATTTAATTTAATTTAATTATATTATACATACATTAGTTATATTAATTATATTAATTTTATAAGTTCAATCTGATATTTTTATATGTATAGGTACATGTTTAATGCACGTACATACATACACTCATTTATATTGCATAGGTTTTTTAGGTATTCGTTCATTGTACTTTTAACAGTCATATAATTAAAGTTTAACAATTCTTCTTAGACAGGAGTTATTTTATACCTTGATGTTGTCTGCGACCTCTTTCTCCATTCCTTCCCAATACACTCCTCCATCGCAAGTAGACGCTACGTTAGTGAAAATGGTATTTTTAAAGATGGTTTTCATGGCATTGGGATTCGTGGCCGAACTCGTGCCGGGGGCAACTCCGAAAAATCCATTTTCCGGATTAATGGCGCGTAAGTTTCCTTTATTATCGAATCTCATCCATGCAATATCATCTCCTACACATTCGATCTTGTAACCTGGTAGGGTAGGTTGCATCATAGCCAGGTTTGTTTTACCGCAGGCGCTCGGAAAAGCGGCGGCGATATAACGTTTTTTGCCCTTAGGATTTGTGATACCCAATATCTGAAATGGCATACAAATTTTGGTTTATTATTGCTTTTAACTTTAAAATTACGTAACTTTTAATGCAAAAATCTTAGTAACCATATTGAATTATGAAATCAAACGTAAAAATGATATAAATTGATTCCACTGCACATCTAAATAAATTAGTTGATTTACTCATATTCGACAGTATAAAACGGTAAAATGCGCTGAGAAATTCCTTCTTGGATTCCTTTAATTGTACATATACATATATGTATATGTATATGTACAATTAATTCACATTCACATAAATGATAAAAAATTACAATGGCAAGATATAAAAAATGAAAAACATACGAGCATATGTTCAGCAAGCCATCCCTCTTTCCTTGCTATTGTCGAACCAATTCGAAGCGCGAAGCACTTTTTTCCCAACAGAGAATTTCCACCATAACCACTTCCGTAAGACACAATCTCGTTTTTGGCAGGTTTGTGCAGGATAATTGTCCTTTCGGGATCGCATGGCCACGAGTGAGTTATATTGACCTTTGAATTGTGTTTCGGCACACCAACCGAGTGTAAACATTTAACAAAATCATTATTTCCCATGGCCTCAAGTACCTTTTCTCCCATTCTTGTCATTATTCTCATCGAACAAACTACGTAAGCCGAGTCGGTAATTTCTATACCAATTTTAGAGAGTGGAGAACCCACGGGTCCCATACTGAAGGGAATCACATACATGGTACGTCCTGCATAGCAAAAATTTACATTACATTTGTATAACGTTAAATAATTTCTAATTACTTGTTCAGGCATATTTGTGGTATATCTTTTAATATATCATTTATTTTTAGATTACGCAATGGAATGTGTTTGGAGACCAATAAGAAATCATAAATATCCCAAATTTCACTGCTAACCTTTCATACAGCCCGGAAAACGTTCCAAAATAGCTTTTTCCATATCGTTAGGAGAGATCCAATTCCCAAGTTCTCCAGTTACACCTTTACGTGGTGTAGGAATAGTATCACTTTTCAAATCTGTACTGATGAACGTACGTTTCTCGACACGTGCCACATCTGCAGGGTTAGTCTTTGCCAACCAGCTGTTACATAAAATACATTCGATAAATAGTGTGTACAATAAATAATATAAACATAGTAATGAATAAGTTATATATATTATTATTTTACTATATATATTTTTTTTCTATAAATTTGAATTCATTTTTATCATTTTTATTGGAGCAACCACCTTCCTTAAATAATTATTGTAGATAGGCATTTTGACCTCAGAAAAGAAAAGAATCTTAATTACAAAAACTGTGTTGGAACTTTTGCTTTTTTTTCTTCCGTAAAAGTCTGCGTTCTGATTATTTTAATTTCTAAATTCGATCATAGAAAACAATTGAAATGTGACATATATGCATGCACACGCACATTGTATAATAGTAGCTGTAATTTCGTATTTTCATAGTAAAGTAAATATATGAAATGTACTTACCAGTTTTCATATTTGGGCAAGCTCTCGATGGTTCCACTTTTTTGAAGAATTTTTAGCATTTGCATATACTCAACATCTGTACCATTGCATATATAAATGTCTTTAGGACTGCACAGTAAAGCGCATTCCTCGATGTAATAGCGAAGTTTGGAGGAAATCTCTATCGCGCATGCATTTAAGAGCGGTATTTTCCCAATGTAATCAAGTCCATTTTTAATCGATGGGTTCTTTGCTGCATGAGTTACGATAAATCTCGCACTTCTGCAAAAGCATTTGTTAAAGATCATTTTATTAAAGCACATTAAAATAAAAATTAAATTAAAGTATCTCATAATTTTGATTCTAAAAAAATTAATTGCAAATTAATTCTTCATCATCAAATAACTAGTTGAAAAAAACATTTGTTACGTATTTTTTTCATTAACACGTTATTTGATGTTCAAGAATTATAAATTAATTTGCAATTAATTGTTTTTAATAGAATTGTGAACAATATCGTCGTAATAATAATTGAGCAGTTTTTTAAATTGGAATTTTAAATATTTTATGAATGTGTATGCGTGCGACCACTCATTCAATTTAAAATTCTACAATTATAATTATAGGCTTTAATTTTTACAGGCCTTTAGATTTTAGAATACTAATCTGACGACTTCAAGACACTCTATGTGCAGAATGTGTAGGTGTAACACTGTTCGTGGATAAGTAGAACGAATTCAACTGAATAAAAAGTCTTATCTTGCGATCGTTTCGCAATAAATAATGAGAAATTAATTAATAATAATCTACGAATAAATCGAACAATTCAGAGATGAGAGACAATTCAGCGTTACGCATTATTCGTGGGTACTGGACGTGAACTGGATCTTCTTCTCTGTGCGCTTACAATTAGATTCACTATTGAATCGCGCAGATGCATCACAAATCTTTATTAAATAATTTTTCATTGTTACAGTATAGTAAGTAGCAAAACGGTGGGGGACTTTTATATTCAGCTTAGCCTGTTCTATCTACTCACAAATACTATTGCATTTATCGTCAGATTATATGTATTATTATACACGTAATTTGTTTGGCAAATCAAAGATTTTCTGCTTTTACTTGTAAGTTTTCTCTTAAAATATATTCTGTTATTGGAATCTTCTGCAAATTTTTAAATAAAACAGATAAGACGTATTTTATCAACAGTTACCTTCTTTATTTTCACAAAAGAATGAAATACTTTGTCTACTTTGTCATATTATATTCAAGGAAAATTAAATACTAGTCGAAGACGCAAATATCACATACATATAGGCTAAATAACATATTTCTTCTTCTCGTTTAATTATCTAGCAAAAAATTTTTCATGCATAAACATGAACATCAAATATGTCCATACGTATTTTTACATTGTGTATTTCTACTTTTATACAATTCTACACAGTTATGTATACTTTTAAAGATTAATACGTGCTTTATATGAAAAAAATTTTAATGTGAAACTGCTTATTTATAATTATATATATTATATATTATATATATTATAAATTGTTCAAAGTTTTTCATATGAAAGCATGTATAAATCTATAAAATTATACATGTAGAACTATGTAGAATTGTATAGAAATATACAATGTAAAAATATGTATGGACATATTTGACGTATAATCTCATATAGTACTAACATATATACTTATGCATGCTCATGCATGAAAAATTTTTTACCGGTAAATTTGAATAATGCGTGAATAGCAGAGATGCATTGTAAATTAGACAGGCGTTATTTCCATTTTAAGCAAACAGTCGGGCAAACAAACTGAAATTATTGACTTGACAATGAGTTTCGAATACAAGTAAAGTATGTGCTGCATTAAGTCAGTAACGGTGAAAAGTCAAAGTTACAATAGATATCGACTTAATGTACCTTTGCCTACTTTTATTTCTTAATTTGCATCTTTTTGTTCTGTTCTAATATGTGAGCTTCGTTTAATTGTCAGCTTTTGTCTTTACTTTTAGCTGTACATTCTCTCGCGATCATTCACCCACAGAAAAAATTTCCGGATCCAATGCTATTACACTTCAATGTATCGTTTAAACAGGATCGATACAGCGCCAATCCTGTTTATTATAAAGAAAGGAATACTTTCATCCTAAATGAAAAATTCGAAAATCTAGAATAAAATGATAGTATGTATCGTCTTTTGTCGAATATCGTGGTGCCGACTTCGTGCATTGTAAGATGGAAAGAAAATTTATTCTCAACGCAAGAATATATAAAGTTACTCTTGTCAATATAGTAAGTCAATCTTTTTCAATTCAATAGAGGAGAATAAGAATTAATGATTTTATTTTGATACTGTCTTATTTTCATACTAAATGAGGTTGCGAGAAATAGAAATGGCTCAAGAATATCTTTTGTCTTAGTAACAGAAATCCTTTCTGAGGGAGTTGTGTCGAAGAAGAGACTTAATGCAGTCACAGAACGTTTACCATTGTTCTTTCAAGTATCTGAGAGAAAACTGTAAATTACTTCAATTATAACGCCTTTACCCTAATGATATCATTCGAACAATCTATATATATCTTCTATAGAATGTATTAAGGACATCTTGTACAGGAGAACATCGCTATAATGAACAATATAGTAGTGCTTGTTGTCGCCAGTAATGAATAAAGTGTAGTCTCAAAGTTGTCGACCAAACCAGTAAGAAATTAATTTATTAAAAAAAGGCTACAATGTTTCGACCAAATACAGGTCCTTACCAAGTAGAATACACGAAGTTAGAGATTAAGTGGATTAATAATATGCAGACGTAGGAGACAGAAAGAATATCGAGAAGAAATACCTCAGGTTTTATCTCTATAAAATTTTCTACTTCCCATACAGCACAGATGGTTGCAGTTACATTGCAGAAACGTTGCAATTTTGCAGTGCAATCTTGCAGAGACCTTGCAGGGATATAAAATTGCAAACTTTCGATATTGCAGCAATGTTTCAAAAATAATGAAAATACTATATTTTCTATTTAAAAAATTTTTCTAATTACGAGAATTTTATAATGTTATTTTCGTTGATACCAATAATGCGCGAATTATTAAGTACTTGATCAGTGCGGTATTGTTCACAATCTCCATCTATTGCGAAGCGACATAATCTCCTTAGGTTGCTTCACAATAGCTTACTGTGTATTGAAAAAGGCCCGGATGCATATGTAATTAATAAATTCTCTGCTTATGTACAACAACGACAAATTATTCCAAAAATATTGCGCTGCAACATTGCTATAATGTTGCACTGCAATCTTTCTGAGGGCGGACATTTCAACGTTGCTGCAATCCTCCAGAAACGTTGCAGCAATGTTGCGCAACGTTGCTGCAATATTGCAGTCTTGTAACATTTCTGCAATCTTCCTGCAATCTTTCTGTGCTGTGTGGGTTTGTATCCCATACAGCACACAAATGTTGAATCAGCATCTCAGAAACGTTCCATTACAACATTGCGATGTTGCATCAATGTTACGAAATGTAGATTCAGCGTTGAAAAGTTATTGCAAAAACGTCTAATGTCCGCTGAATTGTAGTGTCTTGTAAACGTTACAATTCAACATTCAGAAAACATTGTTAAATTATATTGAGTTAACATTGGTCGCGTTTAGCAGAATATTTTTTACAACTGTTGGAAGTGCTGAAATTTAATTATTCCACTAAAAAAAATAATAATCCAATCTCAGCTCAGAATATTTCTGACCGTTGCAAACAAAATATATATACCTACATTTTGTAATTATACATTTTTAAGTATTCCATTTGAGTGTCAAAAAGTAATAATTTGTTCAAGATTGTTTTAACGTTGCTGCAATATCCCAGATACCTAGCCAGTGTGAACACAAGTTGCTTTCACATTGCTAAGAAAAATGTTAGCATCTTGCTATGCATCTATGTCGTTTATTGTGCTGTTGTTTGCTAGCATTTGGTGTCGGAAATAAAACATTTGCATGATTCAAACATTATGCTAGCATTAAGTGCTTGGTCAGATATAACATGTTTATATCTGTTAGAAAATTGAAAACAATATATGCTAATTCTTTGTTAACAGTACACCTATTCGATGTGCTCTCTCTTTAGCTGTGCATTTAACTACGACAATATGTTAACATTATGCTAGCTGTACTTAAATCACTCAAACATTGAATTCATATTCCCAGCAAAGAACCAGCATCAGTTGCTGGCATTTTATTTCCATACATTGCTTGAGCATACTGGCTATCTGGGATAAAGAATTAATGTACAAATATTAACCTAGGTTCAATCTAGAAAAGATATTTATACTTCAACATTCAACATTGCAACGTTTCAGCAACATTATTTTAACTTGCTGCGCTATATGGCTATTCTTCCTATAGAAGATTGAATCCTATTAAAGACCTTACCCATATTTCCAGCCCTCTATTTTACTATATTTCAACTAATAGCGTTATTCTCGCGACGATTACGGTACCTTCATTCAACAGCGAGCTCGGCAAAGATACTCACCGCAAATGATGGGTCTCGACGGCGTGCGGCATCCTGCGGGCTTTTCCGATTGCGAAGACGGACGGTGCGACGAAGTGCGTGGAGCGGCTGATCTTTGGAGCATGAGTCGAAATTAAGCCGAGGAGATTGCCGGTTGAGGTGAAACAGCGGCAATTGATGGAGACGTCCCGTTTGCCGTCGAACTGCCGCGTGGCCCGCGTCAAACTCGTCCAGCTGATACCGTGGAATTTCGGCGGCATGTTACCAGCGTCCGTCAAAACGCTTCCTTTATATGCGAATGCGGAACGTGTTCGCTCGCAGACGAGCCCCAGCGAGCCGCCCCTCCGATTGGCCGATAAGAGGAGTTACCGTTGGACTTCCGATTAATAGTGGGGAGTGTAAAATCGCGGCGACCCGGGCAGGTCCACGAACGGCGGCCACAAAACAGCACACAAGGATTACGTCGCGACTGGTGCACTTCTGACACGCGCTACGTCACGTCCTTGGTCGCAAAAATCATTCGATCGCTCCGACCGGTCAAAGATTCCGAGATTCCCCCAGCGGGACGGAGAGATAAACGCTCGGAAATTAATTGATACGCATATCGCCGGGATACACCTTTTAAACCCGCGAACAATTATCGATACGCGAGTCGCGAAGGCTCGTGGGACCAAACGGGGTGTTCTAATGTCGAGAGAATAACGAATAGTCACTGTAGCGCGAAACGATATGCACTGGCGAGCGAATTCTTTCTCGAAAGTAAGAGCGAAACTTGGTTCAGCGGCGATGTCGATTCAACTCACTTTCGCATTAAATTGAAATCGGCGGCCGAACGGATTTTATACCGATAGCCGTCTCAGCCACTCTCGCTGCTCTATTTTTACGCGGCTGTCCCGCTTGTCCGCTTACTTTCCGTTATCCGTTTCACGCGGGACGGCTTATTTACCGTCAGCACCGAGCCGGCAAACGAGTAAGACTACTATCCACGATCCGCATTTCACACAATTATCCAGTCGCGATGAAAGGACCGTGTCTTTTATTCGGGCCCACTCGAGCCCACTCGGCGCCTCGCGCAAAACAGTGATAAGTGATAAAGACCCACAGGAGAATTGTATTTTATCATGTTTGTGAGTGGCAGATACGTCGTCGAGAGACAAAGAATTATAGCACCGAGATCGTATCGTCACCGTCCAAGTCGTGTTTACGATGCGCAATGTACTTTTCCTAATAGCCATAAATGTCGAGGAGGAACGTAAATGTAGGATTAGTTGGTAAACACGAGAAACGAATAATACGTTATGCTATACTATATGTACACACACACACACACACACACACATACGCGCGTACTTACGCGCGCGCGTGCTTGTGAGGTGTTGTGTTAGAACATATGCAGGATCTCTCATATTATTATCTAAATTATTAGAATCTCATTTTGTAAATCAAAATTATTTTCCACTGTCTTTACCTGAGAAAAAACAAATGAAATATCGCTCGTTTTCAAGCGTTGTTAGCAAATTAAATAATATGTTGCGATGAATTTACAAGCGAAACCAAGATCTTAGAGTGCGACACACATTTAATAAAATGTACTATAATAAATACATCAGTATAAAGTCAAATTTCGGCTTAACTTTGTTAGTCATCCTCAGCACCTGAGAATACTTTTGTGTGCAGATTAACGAAAGGAATTAAGTAATATAATTACATTTAAAAGAAACGACTTCGTTAAGATTCGTCGACGATCAATTTCTTCTACAACAATGACCAAAATGGAAAATAGCACGTAAAATAATTGATGATTTATAATAGTCACCCTATTCTGTTGTACGTAACTAAATTTGTCGCACTTGTAATTGAAAGATCTATTAAAATTAGAATAATTTTGTTTTATGTAATTAACTAAAATAAATACTATAAAATAAAACGTATCTGTTTTGTAGAAGACAAGTTCGCTAAATCCGTAGTGTCTATATGTATCGTGTTTCTTCAATGTGTATTATGGTTGCTGAAAGCATAGAAAATGCATAGAAACATGTGATGAAACAGAAATGAAATAGGTTTTTCTATTATTACTTATTATTTCATATTTTATCACAATTCATATTATGTTTTCACGCACACTAATAGTAAGAAGTAAAAGAGAATTATATTATACGTAAAACTGTATTAAAAAATGACTAATCTTACGAATTAAAAATAGAATAGTTGATTTCAACAATGTTTTATGATAAAATATACGTCTACTTCTTACGCGTAAATTGGAAAGTAAAGTTAAATACATTAAATTTATATAAATTGAAATTGCATAATAAAATACATATACATATACCTGTCTCTTATAATCATATATACAATTTTATTTATGCGCAATTTTAACTTCACACGTAATCAAAATTACATATGCTTTTTACAATGTGTGTGTTTCGTATGCGTGTGCACGTGTGCGCGCACGAAACTTTAAATCCAAAGTCTATCTGAATGGATTCAATGGGAACTGAAAAAATACGCTTCACTATTTTTTATCATTATTATGTAAAAAAAACAAACAATGACATTATCATTTTGCGCTCCCCCCTCTCTCTCTCTCTCAATATATGTATAGGTTATATGTATATATATGTCCTCCCCCACCCCCCTCTCCCTCTCTCGTCATTATCACAAGAAATATCGGATTTATAAATTATCGCAGCCAGACAGTCGATGGACTACGGACCAAAGTCAGGAGCGGATTCTGTCGAGGTTGCGTCCGTAAATCGGTGTTAACCAGTAACAGCCTTATGATCGATAAAGAGATCTAATATCAAATTTTTTTGGCTTATACAATGTATATACATTTACATATAAATTAGTACAACGGATTAATCTTACATGTTATCAATATGTGTGTATATGCATATAATGAAAGCTTATATTTAAAAAGAGTTTAGTCTTTCTTCGAAAAAAATATATACACAATATATTCAATTAATTTAGTTTAATTACATAATATGTATATTATGTAATTAAATTATATGTACATATTTAATTTAATTTCCAAATAGATATATGTAATTTTTATTGAAACTGTAGGAAAAAATTTCTACATCAAGTTCATTGTTTGTTTTTCACTATCAAATATTCTTATTAATTAGAATTCTGTAGTAACTACATGTACATTTCTAAACTAATATCTATATAATAATATAAACATACAATTCAAATTTTTTTATCAAATTTTAATTTTATATTTTTATAATCATACATATTTGTATAATATTATACTTTTTCATAATATAATTAAATTAAATATAATTTTGTAAATTTTAAATATTATAAATTTTGAAAAATAACTAAAACCTTAAAAATTCAACTAAGACCTTACTTTAATAAATGAAGAACCCTAGCAGCACGGTGCGTTGACTGAACATTGGCCCAATACAACTAAATATTGGGTCAATGTTTGTGCTACTAGGTATACGAGTATCTGTACAGATCTGCAATTCATTCGTAAAAATACGAAACCAATGGAACCGTGAAAAAGTTAATAATACGTAATCAAGTGTGTTAAAATACAAATAAAATATGATTTATCGTATTCTATTTCGAGAATCAATTTAATTATCTGCGAGCAAACTCTCCAAAAAATGGATTTAATAGACTTACAGAAAAAAAATTATCGAATATGAAACTTAAAATATTTTTCAACATTACAAATATTTAACTAATTACATATGTATTTTTAGTTCTTATTATTATTATGAATTATTATAATCTCTATTATTTTTGTTAAAGTTATTACCTGAATTCTTACTTCTTATTATAATTAATGTTACTAATAAAGAGAAGATATTTATATGTACTATTTATACAATATACATATTTTTTAGAGACATCCGCCTAGCGAGAGAAGGATTCAAACCCCGGCTGAGATAATATTATTTGTATTAAATTGATAATAAAATTATTTAGACATTAATATCCTCTCGCAACTTTTAACTCTCTTATTCCTTCGGATTTTAAATGCTGTTGTATTTTTGGCCACAACCTCGGTAAAGGTTTTAAAATTCCTTGGGAATATACGTCGATACATTATAATATTCCAGTCTTGCGTCTACGTTGTCGAAATATAAACTCGTAAATGACGAAATCAAGCATAACAGATATAAGCCCATGCGCGCGCACTCGCTTGCCTGACGTATCTGGAGGCTCGCCCGTATGGCCTACGATATGCTTATCGGCATGAGATTGCATAAGAGCTATACTGTTGGCATGATGTATGTATCGATATCGATTTCATAAGAAAAGAGAGTCCAAATTCTAACGATTACGCTCTCGACTATCTGTAACTTTACATTTTGATATTTCTCTTCTTAATATTTTTATATTTTTTCTTGTAATTTTCTATGACTCCATTCTCTTCTATCCTCTCTTTGCTTCTATTTTTGCTTTCGCAAAACTATTTAATCCCTCCCTCCCTCCCTTTCACCTTTCTTCTTCTCTTTCTCTCACTCACTCACTCACTCACTCACTTACTCATTCTCTCACTCTTCCTTCTCTCTCTCTCTCTCTCTCTCTCTCTCTCTCTCTCTCTCTCTCTCTCTCTCTCTCTCTCTCTCTCTCTCTCCCCCCCCTCTTTCCTTCTTCAGTATTTTATGTATTATTTCTAAAGATATTTTCAACCAATTTATTCAAATCTCATTGTTGAATATAAACGTCACAATGGTATGACAAACTATTAGGAATAAAAGAAAGGAAAAATAATTGCAAATACGTACGCATATACCTATATTTATACCAAACATATTTTGTATACTTTTTGACATTTTCATCTATTCTTTTTATCTCAATAAAACAATATACCGAATTTGCTTCATTTTAGATACAGAAATTATATGGATATATATTTATAGTATGGATAAGAGAGAGAGAGAGAGAGAGAGAGAGGGGGGGGAGGGGGAGGGAGAGAGAGAGAGAGGGGGAGAGAGAGAGAGAGAGAGAGAGAGAGAGAGGGAGGGAGGGAAAGAGAGATATATGAAGTAGCACGCAAGATAAGGAGAACAAAAGAGTAAAATAATAAATTTGATATAATTGAACAACTGGAAAATTTTAAATACATTTAAAATATATTATAATTGCATTTTTTCACATTATGAAAGAGTCTTATTTATATTGCAAAAAGAGTGAGGAGGGAATAGAAAAAAGAGATTTCGAACACGCTATTTTTCCATCTACAACTTTCTTGATTAATCTAGAATATTTCTTAATTAAAATATTAACAAATTGCTAATAATATTAATTGACACACTTTCAGATATTTAATCAATACCTTAAATTGTAATAACATTTAATATTAAATATCGTTATCGTTAATATTCTTCCTCCCCCCTCTCTGTCTTCCTTTCTTTTAAGAGCAATTATGATTTACTAATCCGGTAAAAAATTTTTTATGCATGAATTCATGCACAAATATATAATATTATATAAAATTATGCATTAAACATGTCCATACGTATTTTTACATTGTATATTTTTATACAATTCTAGACAGTTCTGTATAATTTTGTATATTTATACCTGTATATGCTTTTATACGAAAAATATTTAAAAGGAGAAAAGTGCTCAATTTTAATTAAGAAATATAGAGTTAAGTGTGGAATCGACTTTACTGG